CTACCTAATACAGGATCTCCCTACTGTGTACGATCGACTTGTCGCTCTCAAGAAGCAATTCTGTCCTTCTACAGCCGATCGGAGTCGCGACTTGATAGCAAGATACACCAATCTGAAGACCGCTCCACGCAACCTAAAGAAACTCGATGAATGGATGGCTGACTGGATACACATCACTTCTCAATGCCAATCGATCAACCTACCAGAGACAACTAGCTACAGGCCTCAGGAGGATTTCCTGATTGCCTGCCAAGCTCACTATCCAAACTACGCTGCTACCTGCCTCGATCAGATATACGAACACGAGATAAACGGTACAAATCTACTCAGCTTGCCCGCCTACGTCGAAAAGATGACGAAGTACATCCGCCGAGCTGCCCAGACCACTGCCACTGAGTCAAGTGTGCTATCTACCTCAGCTGCTAAGCTTGGGATTGCAAACCTACCTTGTGTTTGTGGGCTGTCACACGCTTTACCCGACTGCTGGATACTCAATCCACTTCACCCAGGTCGACCAAAAGACTGGACACCAGCACCTATTGGAGTCCGCAAGGTTGAACAAGCTCAAAAGGATCCTAAGATTTCGAAGCAAATAAAGGACGCCCTAAATGAATGGGCTTCACGTCAACAGTATAGAGACAAGATTCAGGTAGATGACGGCCAACCACCTAGTGGTGGTACATCATTCGTGGTTCATCTGCTGGATACAGGTCAGTTATCACCAACTCACTGACTTGGTGACAACTGGGGGGTGTGTCACGGTTTGGTGATGGGACGATGCCTATCTGAGACTAGCGCTGTTTATGGTCACTCACCTACATAAACTTTCCATAGCTTGTACAATACAACCTCAGTCAATCCTCAACTTCTTCCCTATGCGTACGGTTCACCCACTCCAACACAACGTCTTCATTTACTAGACGGATTGTCTGGGTATTGTCGCACTTGATTGTGATAATTGGATTGCTTAGGTTTACCTGAAGCTCCTTCAACAACCGCGACGTAAAGATTGCCTCCTTAGCAACTTGTGATAGGGCAAGCAGCTCTGCTTCTGTTGTTGATGTTGTCACAGTATCTTGCTTACTTGCTCTCCAAGCGATGAGTCCTCCGAACAGCTTAATTGCGTATCCCTGCGAGCTTTTCCTGTCTAGTGTGTTGTCTGCAAACGATGCGTCACTTGCTACCTCAAGGCCATCGCCTCTACCGAGTTCGAGGGCTAGGGATTCTGTTTTCTTGAGGTACAGGAGCACACGGTCTGCAGCGTCCTGGTGTTCTGTACTTGGATTGACTAGGAAGCGAGCAAGTCGTGATGTTGCAAAGGCTATGTCGGGTCTTGTTGTGACTGCAGCGAATAGAAGCGAGCCAATCTTGCGCTAGTAGCGGTTGATCTCGGACGGCTCTGCTAGGTCACTCCTAGGTCTGAGTTCCATGCCTGACATCGGCGTGTCATGTCTGATGTCTTGTCGGCTTGCTAGTTGGCTAATTTTGTCTGCGTATGCGGCTTGAGATAGCTGTATGGTCTTCTGCTTGCGATTGCGCATAACCTCTACGCCGAGAAACCACTGTAAGTTATCTCCTCCCGTACAAGCGTATTTTTCTTAGATCCGGTTGATGGCCTTCATGGCCTCTGATTCTTGCTTTGAATGGTACGCAACGATGATGTCGTCCACATAGAAGAAGATGATAACTCCGTCTTTAATTATGCAGCATGGCTCCTGTGGTATTTGTTGAAACCCTATCGAAGCAAGAGTTGCAGTGAATTCTTTCTGCCACAGTAATGGTGAGATCCGGAGCCCATACAGTGCCTTTCGCACTTTGAGTAGAGTGCCAGGCTTCTGATACCCTTTTGGCATCCTCATGTATATTTCTCTGTCGATTGCAGCATGCACAAAAGCATTAGTGACGTCGTATTGCTTTAGCTCAAGATCGTATTTGGCGGCGATTGCCATGAGCATTCTGAATGAGCGTCCTGCCAATGTTGCTGCGTATGTGTCTTGGGAGGTGATGTTGCGTTGTTGGTCTCCTCTTACCACCAATCTTGCCTTACATTTGATGAGGCGGTGATGCTTGTCGAGTTTGTAGGTGTATACCCACATACAGTCTAGGATCTGGTGCCCTGCTCGTTTGACTGGTGATGCTTGGACCTCAGTCCATGACTTCATTTGTTGGTGACTCTGAAGGTGTGTCTTTTCTGCTTCCTTGAACATTTCGTATAGTGGATGGTCTTCCAGCTTTGAGTATGCTGTTGGGAGTGGCGGTAGCTGGTTGCGATGGGGCTTGATTCCCTTGGATAGCAGTCTCTTCACCTGAGCCTTGTCGATTGGCTTTCCTTCGTGTTGACCAATGTGTCCTGATTCGGTGCCGGCCATGAATGCGGCTGCCCATGGATTGGTCATTGATGTTGATTGGTTGGACATGTTCGTCATATCCTCGTTGTTCACCTCTCCTTGAACTAGCAAGGCCACAGGTGGAGGAGTTGGTGGCGGGGTTAGATATGCCTCTACCACCTTCCTTCCTTGGTGGTATCTGGTTTTCTGAGTGCGCGGGCTCTCTTCCTGCGTCGTATCGTCCTCGTAGAACGTCTCGGTTTCTGGTTGTTGGCTCTGAGTACCTGGGAGTTCGACTGTTCTTACCCAAGTTGCGATTTCCTCTAGGGTGTTGTGCATAAGATTGTCCATTAGGTCCTCAGTCTTGCCGTTGAAGATTGTGTCTTCGTTAAACACTACGTCGCGAGTGCTGATTACCTTTGCCATGGATGGGATCCAGATGCGGTAGATGTTTGTTGACTGATATCCCACAAGATACCCAATCCAGGCTTTTGGGTCCAGCCGTTGCAGCCTTGACTTTCCTCGGTGGGTATCGTCTGTCATTGCAAAGGCTTTGCACCCATATGCTCTTAGATGAGCTTGGTTTGGTCTTCGGGGTCCGGTGACTATGCCATTTGTGGCAGCTGCGCGCGTGAAGAATATTTCGTAAGGCGATTTCCACTTGTTTGGATAATTTGGCGTTCGATTGTATAGGTATACCGCCGCTCTGGTTATCTCTGGCCAGAGTTCCCATGGAAGATTCGCATCTAGTCGAATTGCGCGTGCCTTTTCTTTTATCACACCCCCTGAGCGTTCGGCTCCTCCGTTCTGCGCTTGTGTGTCTGGAGCGGAAGGCTCGAGTCTGATTGATAGGGACGTGCACCATTTCTCGACTTCTTGCTTAACTGTGACGATCTCGTTGTCTGTTTCAATGACCTTGACCGTAATGTTGAACTGTTTCTTCATAAATTGGATAAAGAGGGCTAATAGGCGAATAATAGAGCGTGCTGGCCTATTGTCTTTGAAGTAGAAATCCCAAACGTATCGGGAGTTTCGGCAAGTTATTAGCATCTGACTCTTTTCCTTAGTGAAGCTGTCCGCCTCGTACTCATGGAAGTCGATTGCAATTCTTTCTCCAGGACCTTCGTCATTTAGTCTTAGCGCCCTTCTCATTTGGCGCTTCGACTTTGATCTGCCGCAGGCGTCACATTGTACTGTGGTGATTCCTTTGATCCTCACCCCCTCAGATTGCTGTATGAGGTGTTCAATAGCGGATGGCCCTGGATGTCCTAGTCGTTTATGCCATAGCATGGCTGTCGCCCTTTGTGGTGATCGCTTGGTTCGATTCATACGCACATGGAAGGCTGAGTCGAATGGAAGTGGTGTCTTCGATAATCCATTGCCCATGGCGTTCCCGATAGGATAGCAATAATTGTCCATCCCATCGTCGCAGGGCTTGTTGGGATCTTCCCGATTGTCCCACCATATTCCTTGTCGTCGGAGTAGCCTTGAATGATACTAGGCTGCAGAGGAAGTCTGGACACCACCGCAAC